GGAAATCTCGAAACTCCAATCCGTTTTCCGGCGATAATCTCCGATCTCCGATCTAGATCCGATGGCGAAGGAACCAGTTCGTGTTCTCGTTACTGGTGCTGCAGGTAAACTTCATGTCTCTCCTCCGATCGTTTATTATTCCATTTTTGATTTTGGATCTCTGGCTAGTGAATCGCAAAGCTCTTGCTTAGATCTCTTCGTAGTCTTGGTTATTACCGTACGATTGATGAAATATAGGTCGGTTACAGTTTCGTTAGATGATAGGATGAGATCTGGGCATATGAAATTTGTTGGATCTTAGCTTTGCCAGGCTTGAATTACGACGAATATATATCAGGATTCTTGTGGTCTTTGTGATTCGTTTATTCATTGTTTATCCGTTTGAATGAATCATCTTCCTTCATGCGAGAACCATATAATGTTTTCCCGTTAAAATTCGCCACTTCCGATGTGCGGTTTGATATGGACGTTTTACCAAAACGCTGAAGTCAACTTTGTTTTTATATTTTTATTTGGTCGATTTGATGACATTTCATGCTGTTTCGATTCAACGTTGACCTATGATTATTTGAGTTGTTCTGATATCTGATTGTTAAAGGGGTTAATTCATGGACTGAAAACAACTCTGTTTCAGTAGCCTTTAGATATAGTTATAGTTTCGTTTATGAAACATCTTTTAGATTGTTCTTGCTACTAGAGTAACTAACTAGTAACTATTATGATCGTGCAGGGCAAATCGGATACGCTCTTGTCCCTATGATTGCGAGAGGAATCATGCTTGGTGCTGACCAGCCTGTGATCCTCCACATGTTGGACATTCCTCCAGCTGCTGAAGCATTGAACGGTGTGAAGATGGAGTTGGTCGATGCTGCTTTCCCTCTTCTCAAAGGTATTTAGAGTTTTTGAAGCTGTGGTTTCCTGCTGTTATATTTGCAATTTGTGCCATATTTTGTCTTGCTTAAGTGGGAGAGATTACGAACATTTGACGTGTTTCAGGCGTTGTTGCTACAACTGATGCCGTTGAGGGATGTACTGGAGTCAACGTTGCTGTTATGGTTGGTGGTTTCCCGAGGAAAGAAGGGATGGAGAGGAAAGATGTGATGACCAAGAATGTCTCAATTTACAAGTCTCAGGCTGCTGCATTGGAGAAGCATGCCGCTCCAAACTGCAAGGTGATAAGATTTGTTTCACTTCATGCAATTTTGTTGTTCATTGGAGTGTAACAAATGCTTCATATGCTCAAACGGTTTCTAGTTTGTGACTCTTCTTGCTCAAGACCTTTATTCGCCGTTTCTCCTTTTTCAGGTTCTTGTTGTTGCAAACCCTGCAAACACCAACGCATTGATCCTCAAGGAATTTGCACCATCCATCCCTGAGAAGAACATCACTTGTTTGACAAGGCTTGACCACAACAGGGCCTTGGGTCAGATCTCTGAGAGGTTGAGCGTTCCCGTGTCTGATGTTAAGAACGTGATCATCTGGGGAAACCACTCATCCACACAATACCCTGATGTCAACCATGCTAAAGTGCAGACTTCGTCTGGAGAAAAGCCTGTGCGTGAGCTCGTCAAGAACGACGAATATTTGAATGGAGAGTTCATCACTACAGTTCAACAACGTGGAGCTGCAATCATCAAGGCGAGGAAGTTGTCTAGTGCACTTTCTGCTGCTAGCTCTGCTTGTGACCACATCCGTGACTGGGTCCTTGGAACTCCAGAGGTTCGTAATAACACTCTTCCCATTATTTTCCAGTGCGGTTTCTGAAAAGCTGTTCTAACATGACTTCTTCTTTTTTTGGGTTTGATTGCTCACTCAGGGTACATTTGTTTCCATGGGAGTATACTCTGATGGATCTTACAACGTTCCAGCAGGACTCATCTACTCTTTCCCTGTAACTTGTCGCAATGGAGAGTGGAGTATTGTCCAAGGTATGACAACGTTAACAACTCAAATACTCGTTTCTTAATTCGCTACTGTGTGTTTTAGTATTCGAATGTGTTTTTGTTTAATTAGGGCTTCCGATCGATGAAGTATCGAGGAAGAAGATGGATTTGACCGCAGAGGAGCTAAAGGAAGAGAAAGACTTGGCCTACTCCTGCCTCACTTAAACCAATACTCCCAATCATCCTAAAGCCATTTTTCACATATTAAGGTGTGAGATCATTAATAAAGCTTTGAAGGCTTTGGTCGGAATAAGAAGTTTGTTTTAAAAGATCTCAAAACACTCTGTTTTGTGAGTTTGTCTCTTTTAAAGAGCATCACATTGTCTCTGGTCTGTTTCTAGACCATAATATCGTTTACTCTGTTTCTATTTTTGTGTGTCTGAATTGGTTTGGTTTAGCCCGTAAAAAGGAAAATTTGGCAGTTTCATCGCTACTCGATTAATTTTTTGTTTGACTTACATAATTGAACTCAAATACTAAATTGAACTTAATATACATCCAATAAAAGTGGATCTTTTATTAATTAACTATTAAGATAATTTTGTTGTGAGTAAGACAACACTGTTTTATCTTCCTGAACTAGACTATGTTTCTATTTTTGATGAACCGATAAATCCGAATCATAAACCATAGGCACTGATCCAGTAACCAAGGCATACGAGGATCGAATTTTTGAAGGGATACGAATATTCAAAAGTTTGAGAGACTTTTACAGTCTTCTTTTCCTTTTATTAAAGTAAAAGCAGTGGAATTTTTTTATAGATTCTGCTTATAAATGAGAACCAAGTTCTTCATTCATTTAAGCAGTAGTTATATTCAACAGATTCTACAAAAGTGGGCATGATCAGAATCGTGTTCATAAACCACCACCGTCTTTACTTTAGCCCCAACGTAAGATAAGAGGATCTTCACTGCACTTAGTCCCACTCAATATTCATATAAAGTTCATTCATAGATGATCCCAAGAAAATCTTTTATAATGAATAAAAATGAGATGTCGGTAAAAAAAAAAAAAACTATTAAAAGAAGATGTTAAATACGAACGCCACTAGTTGTGGATAAAGTTGTCTACTTTTGTCTTGTACTGACAAAATTATATGCATTACTCTCATGGAGTCATGTTTATGATGTTTTCTTCTTCCATTAGATCTCAAATCTTTTAACTTGCATACCCGAAATAGGAAGGAGAGTCATCAAAAATTATCATTCACACTTCCTTGAAGATCTTTGTCTCGAAGATCCGAAAGCTCTGATTGAGTTTCTGGTAAAAGTTTCCAAATTTTGGTTTTTTTTTTCTTTGAAACATCTGATTCTTGTGTATGCTTTCATGTGTTAGAGCAAGACTTGGTTTTTATTGACTAGATCTTGATCTTTTGATTTTCTTTTTCCCTCAACTTGAATTCTATTGCTTCTCTGTTTTTGGGGTAAAGGGTTAGGGTTGAATCGATCCCTCTCTTAAAGATCACAGATTTTGATGAATCATTCTCTGTTATTGATGTAGAAGGAGCTTGAGGTCTGAAATCATGGAAAAGTTTTGGACAGAGAGTGAATTTAGCTGATTTTGGTCTTGATCTCTGTTCATAACTATGACGACGAACAAAAAGACTATAGTTTGGTTTAGAAGAGACCTAAGGATTGAGGATAATCCTGCGTTAGCCGCTGCTGCTCACGAAGGATCCGTTTTCCCTGTTTTCATTTGGTGTCCTGAGGAAGAAGGACAGTTTTATCCAGGAAGGGCTTCAAGATGGTGGATGAAACAGTCACTTACTCACTTAAGTCAATCCTTGAAGGCTCTTGGATCTGAGCTCACTTTAATCAAAACTCATAACACGGTTTCCGCGATCTTGGATTGTATCCGAACAACCGGTGCCACAAAAGTCGTCTTTAACCATCTCTATGGTATTCTAATCTTTCATCTCCTGCTCACTTGGTTAGTTTATTGAACATTTTTGTTGTGCACATGAGGTTGATTAAGTCACGTTTTCCTTGTTGTAGATCCTGTTTCGCTAGTTCGGGATCATACCGTTAAGGAGAAGCTGGTGGAACTTGGGATCTCTGTGCAAAGCTACAATGGAGATCTATTGTATGAGCCATGGGAGATTTACTGCGAAAAAGGCAAACCTTTTACGAGTTTTAGTGCTTACTGGAAGAAATGCTTAGAAATGTCGGTTGAATCTGTTATGCTTCCTCCTCCTTGGCGGTTGATGCCTGTAAATGCAGGTAAAACCTTTATAGAGTATGTATAAGCTAAAACATTTTTTGTATTTTCTTGGGGACATAACAGTTGAAAAAAGTTTGTCTTTTCTTTGTTAGAGGCTGAAGCGGTTTGGGCATGTTCAATTGAAGAACTTGGGCTAGAAAACGAGGCCGAAAAGCCGAGCAATGCGTTGTTAACTAGAGCTTGGTCTCCTGGGTGGAGCAATGCTGATAAGATACTAAATGAGTTCATCGAGAAGCAGTTGATAGATTACGCAAAGAACAGCAAGAAAGTTGTTGGGAATTCAACCTCACTGCTTTCTCCATATCTCCATTTCGGTGAAATAAGCGTCAGGCGTGTTTTCCAGTGCGCTCGGATGAAACAAATCATATGGGCAAGAGATAAGAACGTTGAAGGAGAAGAAAGTGCGGATCTTTTTCTTAGAGGGATTGGTCTAAGAGAGTATTCTCGGTATATATGTTTCAATTTCCCGTTTACTCACGAGAAATCGTTGTTGAGTCATCTTCGGTTTTTCCCTTGGGATGCGGATGTTGAAACGTTCAAGGCTTGGAGACAAGGCAGGACCGGATATCCGTTGGTGGATGCCGGGATGAGAGAGCTTTGGGCTACCGGATGGATGCATAACAGAATAAGAGTGATTGTTTCGAGCTTTGCTGTGAAGTTTCTTCTTCTTCCATGGAAATGGGGAATGAAGTATTTCTGGGATACTCTTTTGGATGCTGATTTGGAATGTGACATCATCGGCTGGCAGTATATTTCCGGAAGCTTACCCGATGGCCACGAGCTTGATCGCTTGGACAATCCCGCGGTAAACTACAAAACATATATATAAAGCTGAATAACCGTTTATTTTGGTTTTTCGGCTTATTCGGTTTTGAACATTCAAAAACCACCCTTGGTTTGCTAATTGAGAAGTCTCTTAAAATCTCTGTTTTGATTTCAGATACAAGGCGCGAAATATGACCCGGAAGGTGAGTACATAAGGCAATGGCTTCCCGAGCTGGCAAGATTGCCAACAGAATGGATCCATCATCCATGGGATGCTCCTTATACCGTACTAAAAGCTTCTGGTGTGGAACTCGGAACGAATTATGCAAAACCAATCGTAGATATCGACACAGCTCGTGAGCTACTCGCTAAAGCCATATCAAGAACTCGTGAAGCACAAATCATGATCGGAGTAGCACCTGATGAGATTGTAGCAGATAGCTTCGAGGCCTTAGAGGCTAATACCATTAAAGAAACCGGTCTTGGCCCGTCTATGTCTTCTAATGACCAACAAGTACCTTCAGGTGTTCGTTACAATGGGTCAAAGAGAGTGAAACATGTG